ATTTATTGGAACTAAGCTGGAAAAATAAATCTGAAGGTCAATTAAATGATAAAACTTGAGCTAAAGTTCTCCTTTTTTAATTTAATTGGTTTATTTTAAGTGTATTTATTTATTGGTCCATTTATATATTACTGCTTTTATCTCTATTTATGTCAGATCTGGTCCTCCGTAGTAGACCTGTTCCCACCTTTTTCACGATGCTGGAGCAGCTTCCCTAAAATTCTGCATTAAAAAGCTTTGGAAATAAACCGATGAAAGATTTAATAACGTGTTTACTTCTCGTTCTTTAGCCAATGATGGACCGGAACAAAGCAGACGAGCTGCCAAAACTCCAATGTGGTTTCATCGACTTTGTCTGCTCTTTTGTCTACAAGGTCAGATATTCAACCAAACACGAACAACAAAAACAAAAAAAGTTGCGTTATTTGTGTCGTTTTTATTGTTTTGTTTGTAACTTCCTTTTCGTGTTCCTCAGGAGTTCAGTCGTTTCCACGTAGAGATCACTCCCATGCTGGACCGCCTGCTGAACAACAGGAAGGAGTGGAACGCCCTGAAGGAGCAGCACGAAGCCAAAATGGCCGCCATCGAGGAAGCTAAGAAAGCCAAGGAGGAAGCAGCTCAGAAGGCTGCAGCAGCGAAACAAGGCAAGCAGCTAAATAAAGTTTCGATCTGAGTGTAAACATCTCAAACAGGAAGAAGTTCAGCTCGCTCCTCGTTTGAAACATTATTTTCTGTCCTCATGTTTGTCTTTTCCTCCTCTCCTCCAGCTGCCGGTGCGTCCCAGTCAAAGACTTGTGCTCTCAGTTAGAGATCCTGCAGCAACACGGCCATGCTGACTTCGTGCTCGGGCTCTTTTTCATCTGTCCTGGCTGGGATTTTTTTTTCAGCTCGCTCCTGAAAAAGAATCCATCCCGCTGAAAGGTCACTTCTCTTTCAATAACCTGTCTCTGTCAGGCGCAAATTGAAATGTCACTTCTTGAAACTTCTTTTTGTCTTTCCYGCTTCTTTTTGTCTTTCCTGCTTCTTTTTGTCTTTMCATGCCATGTGGGATGTTTTCTCTGCAGCTCAGCGGGGCGTTGTTCTGACTTCAGGTGTTTTATGAGAATCAAAAAAGGTCCAATATATGACTCAGCTAAAGTGCTTTTGATTTTAAAATCCCACATGTAGGGCAGGWGACAGACCCTGAAGTAAGGGTTTTGTCTTACATTCACAGGTTTTTTTTTTTGTGACTTAATTACAGAGCTGTAGTGACATTTACAACAGGGCCGATCAGGAAAATAAAAAACGACAGTGTAAAAATGTCACAATGTTGGAAAAAATCCYTAAACCAGAATAATTAAACCTAACTGTATTTGTTTTATTTGTTATTAAGCTTTTATCATTGTTTCTCAGGTAAACTACCAAATAACATCCAGTATTTATCTGAACAAGTCCGAGGTTTGTTGTTTCTGCTGCTGCAGCAAAGCTTACAGAATTACTTTCAGTCCTTCACAATAAGAGTCTCAAACACTGACTGTTAACCTAAAAAAAACATTTAAATCTTGTGGAAATAGCTTACAATGTTGTCAGTCAAACAGCCTGGACCACCAGCAGTTTTGAGAGTTTGTTTCAATGTTTGAGGCTTTTATTGTGAAGGGTTGTGAGAAACGTTGCACATATTGAGTCATTGGTTGTTACAGTTTGATTCAGCTTCGCAGCATTCTTTTCTTTTCTTTGTACAATAAAAAAACCTTCTGACTCTTCAGGCTGCAGTCATATTTTGTGTTTCTCTCCTCAGGAACAGATAAGATTTAATTCTATGATGGAAATATGACGTTAGTTGACAGGATAAATCTAAGCTGAAAGCTATTTTCACATTCATCCTTCACTCTTAGTATTATAAAAACTGCAAGAGAAAAATAAAACAAGCCATAAAACAATAATGAGTTTTGTTCTCAAGAAAAATAAAATTAGATGAAAGTTATGAAAGAAAATTGATGCAGAAACCTTTTCATGTGATGTCATTTAGACACGACTTGAGTGTTTTTTTTTGAAGCCTGATTTTGCTGCCTTTAACCCAGATGCATTTTGACCTGGAAATAATTTCATGTTAACCAACAGCAGTTCACCCCGAGGACAGAGAGGCAGATTCTTGGGAAATTATCGCACAAATCCCGACTTAAGCTCAAAAATATTCATTTAAATCTAAAATAACATGAAATCATCAGAAAAACAGCTATCACATGTTGCAGCTAAAGAAAACTAAAGTTGTTGTTTTTTATCACAAACATTGAGATGAATAAAAGTCTTAAATACCGTTTGAGGGAGAATTTAAATGCAATCTGTAAAAACAAACAGAATGTAATGATTTGCAAATTTCATAAAAACAGAAACAGTAATCATCAAATAGAGAAACCTGAATAAATTCTCACATTCAGACGTTTACAGGCTGTTAAAAAGACAAACACAAAGCTGTAATTACATTTAGATGCTGTTTTATTCTTAGTTTCCACATTTGATATGTTTGCTGTTTGTTTATATGATTTGTAAATCACTGCAGTATGTTTTAAYTGACATATTGTTTTCAGAATTGCCTTGTATAAACACATTATCACAGTAAATATCTGCCAGCTGCACTGTTTACCTTTGTTAGTGTGCAGACGGTGATGCGCCCACCTAGAGCCACACATAACAGAGTTACAAAACCCAACATGACGCCAGAGCAGGAGAATGAGAACTGATTGCCTCCACAGGGGGGCAGTTCATGAGCTAAATCCATCCCACCCATCTTTGTCTGCCTCCCTCACGCTGCAGCTTCAGAATATCAGCCTGCAGGATTTAGAGCTGTGTCGTCACCGGCGCGTGACGTGAGCCTCCATGACGTCAGGGCGAGCGGGGGGCTCAGAGGATTACCGTATACGGTTGTGCTGATGAGCAGGGCTCGTAAAGCCCGGCTCTGACGCAGGGACATCCCGTGACTGCGGAGAGAGGAGAGCAGCTGCAGTACACCCGGCGAGCCGGCAGGAAGGGAGCTTCAGCCTCGCTCCGGCTCCGTTCTGGGCGCCAGTCGTGACTGCGGTGAAGGCAGCCTGCAAACCACAGAGGAGAGCCATGCAGGATTATTTATAGGACAACTGTGCACGGGCTGCCTGCAGTTTCTGAGCAGAGAAAGTCACTTTTTGCATTTCTTACCGCAGCAACACATTTTAGAACTATAAAATAAGAATTCACCCTGTGAAATGTTCATGCTTTTACTGCTGTCATAAAGCAAAACGTTTGACAATGTTTGAACTGATGATGATTTCAGTCTGATTTCCACAGATGAAAAGGAACATGTGAGCCAGCAAGGGTTTGTCTACATTAATACTCAAAAATCATAAACAGTCTTTACTAACCTTCACAAAAACTCTTAACYGCTTTAATTATTGATGCTCTGCAGGATTAATAGATTCAAACCTTCTCTAACCATTAAATCATGTCTCATGTGGTGTGAAAGTACTTTTAYACAAGCAATTACACACAGTATACAGAATATTTAACTCATAAGTTATTAAGCTTTAATAAACAATAATTATGTTGGTTTTGAAAGTAATTAGCCTTTATGAGTAAAACAGTAAAGGGGTGATATTATGTGCTTTCCCAGCCTATATTTCAATTTTATACTAAAATAAAGTAAC